TTATAGCAAACTGTGACAATTCAAGCTAGTATAAATAACTATAATTATAATATATAATATAATTTAGTCAGGGAGGGGTTGATGTTTGAAAATGTGCCGTGTTTGGGATGAATTTGTGGAGTTTTTAAATAAATGTTTTGGCAAAACTTAATTTTTTAAGGGGATTTTAAAAGATCTTACAGAATCACAGTCTGTCATTGTTTTTAAGATGATTTATGACCAGCTTAAAAACAAATTATGAATTTGTAGTCGAGTGAAAGTGTGTGTATCTGTAACTGCTTGTAATTGTGCTGCTGTCACTTGCCAGGACAATGGCAGGTGACAGCAGCACACTTGCCATTTTAACTTTGAGATTAAAAGTCTGGTAAGAGACTTTTAATCTCAGAGGTTTTTTTTTTTTCATCCTGGTTTAATAAAGCTTGATGGTGATGATATCTGCATACAACTATGATGGCATATTAGGGCTGTTATAGAAGAAAAAGGAGTACATTTCTGCCAAAACTCTAAGAAATTTTTCCTAAGTCTAAAACTTTCTTTGGAGTTTAATTTTTTCTAGAAAATTTCTGAGATTAATCTTAAATTTTCTGAGTTTTTTGGCAGTATTTTACTCCTATTTCGTCTCTCTGTAATGGGAATATGCCGTCATACGCAATACACACATTACGTATGTGGTATGCATCTGTTAACTTCCACTAGGGCAGTGTTTTCAAAAATGGCTCGACCACTGGGCCTCTGAAAACTGAACAGATGAGAATAATAAAAACAAAACAAAAAAATTTGGAACCACAATTTTTTTCCGTCATAAAATCTAATCTGTTTTTCAATCATTATAAAATACGAGTTAAAATAATTGACTCACCCTGTGTGAATAAGGGGATACTGATGTTGGATGGATTTCCCTCCTTTGGTACCTGGAGGTTTATGTTTTGGTTTGACCCTGAAAAAGGTAAACACTCAGACATTTTTATTTAGAAGAATGCAAAAATCTTGTTCAAACTCAAACTTTATAAAAGGCAAAGCAGACCAACAGTCTTACAAAGTGAACATTTCCATTTCGATTTTTAAAACTAGGCCCACAAAATGTCAGCGTGTTACCCTGGTTTCCCTTCCTGCTTCCTGTTTGGCCGCTCTCTCGGCTGCTCGCCCGCATCGACTTTCTTTTCTGCTCCGGGTTGACCTTTCCCCTCCTCCTTCTGTTATTGATGGAGCTGGGTCCTTCCGCTGTGCTGCAGCCCGGTTAGGCAGAATGTCACGGTGTTGCAAACAGTTTTAAGCCAATCAAAACAAAAGACTGTCGTGCAAAAAGGTTCCTGCTCCTGCGGTTCGTTCTGCATCGTCGCTCCGGGTCAACTCAACCCAACGGTGCCCACAGACTCGGATCCTCCTGCCTGCCTGGATTATGTGTCGGGTATTTTCCTGGAGACGGAGAACACAGGGATGAACCAACTGGCTGTTTGTCATCCTGACTGATGCACCTGCATGGCTTAGACCTACAACAGAGCCTGTTATTTACACAATATTGATGTTCTGTTTTTTCAATATATCTATAGATATAGATATACATCTCATTATGATTATCATGTGAGAAAATTATACATTAAAACCAAAAGTGTCTTAAACAACCACCCAACAATTTTAAAGCTCCTGAACTTTGGGTAAAAGAGTTTTGTCAGGTTAGCCGGGGTTTCTACAAGTTTGACCAACTCAAATTTAAAACGTAAGACAATTATGAATTAAATTTAATACGCGTCATGACAGAAATGTACAAAACATGATAAATTGGGGATAAATTTGCACTTACCCAAGATGGATGTAAAAAACGCTAGCTAGCTGGCTAGCAATGGCACATTAGCAGCTGCAAAAAATACAAAAAGTAGAAATAACCAGCACTCTAAAAAATTAATTGGTGTGTACGTACGCATTCCTGATCAAGTTCAACATTTGGATGCATTTTTGAACAGACTTTACCAACACTAAGACAGAGATTCAGATGGAAATAACCTGAAACAGAAGGGGAGAGCTAAGTGTGTAGCTGAAGTGTTAATTGTCTTTTCTAGCTCCGTTGCGCATGTTCACGTTGTTATTACACATCACGGTAATTGTAAGAGGAAATTTCTCACATCAGAACAAGATTTCTGGGAATTGATTGCATAATGTGCAATACTCTGAGTCCCAGAGCAATTTCAGGCCACAGATAATAAACTGATTAAAGACGGTCAGAGTGAATTAAAGAAAGCAGTCAGGTTTTTAAAGGAGCCGCTCAAACTCATTGACCGACTCAACTCAACACTGTTCCTGGTGTCTTGGTTGGCTCGCTGCTGCATCATCGTTGTGTCCGTCCTTCTGGCTCTCTCTGCTACATCCTTCTCAACATCAGCCGTCTGTGGCTCTGTGGATGACCTGACATCAGAGAACTTAAGGAACATGTGAGAATCTGAGGCTTGTTCAGGTTTGTTAGCTAAATTACATCGAGATAGGATTAAAAGAAAGATGCCTTACTGACAGCACTGAAATTCAGCTTAGTTCTGATACAACAGAGCTTCTGTCCTTTAGCTTCTCAGTAGCCAGGCATTCAAGGTTTTTTATGCACATTTTGAAATTTCGAAAAAAAAAAAAGGTTAGCACTTTGCTTGAGGTGGTTTTAGGATCTTCCCGAAAAAGAGTCAATGCACAAAAGGGGAGATAGAAAGAACCTCTGTCGAATCCGTTCTGGGTCTGTGCCTTACCAGAGGCACAAAGCTCTGAAATGTTTCTACTTCCTGTTTGTTAAATTCATGTGTAGCATCGACATCGAACATAATTACACTTTAGCTGGACTTCCATTAAAAATATGTACAAAACTTTGTCAATATTCTGCTAATGTGAAAAAAAATATCACTAGTGAATAAGTTTATTCATGCAATAAGTCAACTTGCATCACAGTTGGATGGAAAAAAGCCAGAGTGTTTAGAAGCAGGACAGTTTATGTTCTAAATTAGTTGCAAGTTGTCAGTCACTGGTCCACGTTGTTTGTCCTCTGCAACTTTTAGAAAACCATTTCTACTGTGTTATTTTATTATATTAATATAAATTTCATAATGTGTCATCTACCTTAAATGCAGCTCTAAAACAAGATTTCATGTACAGTGAAATCTTTAGATAAAAATAAGTTGTTGGCAAACCAAGACTGGTCTGATTTTTGACAATCAGTGAAACTGGTTCAGTTATGAGTACAAATACCTTTTAAATTAGCTACGAATAATATTGTTCTGGACTTAAAACCCTCCAAAACTTTCAGCTTTTAGAAAAGTACATTTTCACCTTTCTCCAGTCCAGCTTTATTTTATGTAAGGGTTTATATTTGCTGATCTACTAACTACTAATTTATTTACTAGGTTGGTTTTTCACCCTGCTTGTACTGTAAAAATCTAATAATCATCTATTTTTCTACAGGATGCAGAAACACAATTTGTCCCAGAAAAATCTGTAATTCCGGTCTGCTACCAGAAGATGGCACCAACGATTCACAGGAAGAATCTGACAGAATTTATTCTTCAACACAATTTACAATATAAATAATTGCAAGATACAAATTACAAGACCACAAGTTAAGTTATTTCCCTCTTTCAGATTCAGAGAGAAAAAAAAAGAAAACCTGTCATGTACACAAAAAGTGCTTCAATCATCAGAAAAAAATAAACATGAAGGCATCTTTCTGATGCATCTGAAGAACAACCGTCATCCGGCACTGATTTGACAAAGATCCACTTCATCTGTGGAAAAATACTCAGCTGGAGATAAAAGCCGAAACAAACATTCCTTAAAGTGAGGAACCTTCAATACTCCAGCTGTTTCTTCAGTGATTCTGGTTGCAGGTTCAGACTCTCATCCACCAAGAGGAACAAAACAAATCTACAAACGTTATACAAAAACTGAAAGACTCTAGAAACTATCGTAATGGACATTAACAATTCTTAAAGCCAGTCTGAAAGCAGCCGCCAACGCCTTAGCTTTCATTTCAGCTGCCCAGCATCATGAGTCAAATTTGAATTGTGATCTGATTCACGAAAAGTGAATATTGTTTGTTTTAGGAAGGATATGAGCGTATGCCATGGGATCTAGCCACACCTGATGAGTAGAGGTCTGTCGGTCTCTAACAGGAATGTAGAAGAAACCTGCTCTGATAGAGGATCTGTCATTCAAACAATAGATATTTCTGAAGTATTTTCATGAACTTCATACAGATAAAATCCCACAGCACTCCAAGGTTACGTTCAAACAGCAGCCTGAACCAACCCAAATCGGACGTTTTTTGCCTGTATGCGACCCACGTCAAACACCGCCATCTGAACGCTCCAATTCAGATACTGTCACCCTACAAAACATCACATCTGTTCCACATGTGGTGCCAAATCAGATGTGCATCAGATTGTTTTCATGGCATCCACAGACTGAACGGTCATTTCGCATTTGATCCAACTTTGATGTCATTCTGGTGTTTTAATTCTGCCAGACGTGGTAAACTTTGATGTAAACAATGATGGAAGATTCGAATTCTGCCATTACGAAAGACGTGTGCATCAGTGAAGAGCATCACAGTCTCACCGCTCTCATTCCTGACTCCACATCCAATCAGATTCCTCCACAGATGTCACACTCAATGCTCTACTAAACGCCGTTGACGTTAATTGTGACTTCTTTTTATTAGCTTACTTCATCCTGTTACGTCCGTAAACGGTGCGCTGCTGTTAGACGTCTTCATTAGAAGTTCTTTTTCTGTTCACACTGAAGTCTGATTGTGGTCCCAATTCATTTATGGTACGAGTTCTTTTTCGCAAAAATAAAAATAAAAAGGTATTTCAACGTAAAAAAAAAAAAAAAGATCATCAGTACCTGCTGTGTGAACGTAGCCTGAGCTTTAAGGTGATGCTGACTTTATTCCAATCTATTCTACAGGTTACATGACGGCGGGTAAAGTAAATTAAGTGAAATGTAAAAGTAATTTCCACTAAGGTTAATGAAAGAGGTTTGAAATCAGACGTTTTTTATTACAGTCAACCTTTACACAGAATACCCAGTTATTTACTTTATGCCCATAAAAATACACTCATAGCATTTGAAGCCATCAGAAATAAGTTGGACATCTCATGAAATCCCCCTCTCTCCTCTGTGTTGTTGTGATAAAGTGCAGAGTACAGTCTTTTGCTGATGATGCGCTTCTTTACATTTCATATGGGGTCAAAATTACAGAGAAACTGAATGCCGTTTAGTGTCGAATCTCATCACACGTCTTCAAATATGAAATGTAGAGCACATAAATACGGACAAAGGCTCAGATCAAGTTTCACATATATCAATAAAACAGGTTAGATACTGTACAAGAAGAGGACACAGTGACTTTAGAAACGGCTGATTAGCTGCATCAGTGAGTTTGATCCGATTCTGTTGATTTGATAAACTACAACATCATGACCACCGAATTCTGCCACTGAGCTCCCAAAAGACAAAATGAGTTGTAATTTTTAAAATATGTACATCACATATGAAAATCTGGGCAACATAGATTCTGCAGGCAGTGAACTGAGCTGAAACGCCTGTGTGTGTGTGTGTGTGTGTGTGTGTGTGTGCACGTGTGTGTGTGTGGACATGCACAAGTTATTTTACATTCACAGTTGCAGCAGATGGATGAGTTATGGGAGTTGGCCTTATAGTCACTGAGAAAGTAAGAGGGACATTCCCAGGCACACGCATACTCTAGCTTATTGTGTAGTGTAATGATAATAATAGTATCAATAATAATAATAATAATAATAATGATAAGATCCCTGCTTTCTTTCGCTGCGTTCAGTACCGACATGATCAACACACCGGGTGCAGTCTAGGTCCGGCAGCAGCCAGCGACCCTCATTTCTTTGTCCACATATTCCTGCAGCTGGAACTTTGGCTCGTCTGGTTCCTTCATGGTCCGGTGCTTCAGCTCTCTGGTGATCACACACACACACACACACACACACACACACACACACACACGGAGTCAGAGTGAACAATTAATGTCCGACTTGTGTGTTGGTAGGTTTTCTGCAAAGATCTCCATCATTTGTACATTTTCAATAATCACAAGTTAGTGGAAAAGCAGGAAGTTGAAGGAGTATGTGATTTAAGGGGAAATATGAGTTTTAAAAAGAATAAAAGCACATGTAGAACTGTATGACTAAAGTAACTAAATATATTCGAAAGTAAAAGGTTGAAAAGAAATATTTCTAAATAGTTATATGGAAGATGGATACACAAACAGTAAAATAATTTGGGATATTTTTAGATGATTCAGATAAATATACACATATGTATATATTTATGGATGTATTTTTTATATAACGGTATATTGAAGAATAACATAAAGGGGTGGGAATTAAAAAACAAAACAATGTAAGCTACTCATCACTCCTTTTCAAACAAGTATAGTAAATTAGGAAAAAATACTGAACACCTTCCACATTTATTCTAACACACTCACTCAGTTTCCTGTGGAATCAGTCAAAGATGGCCACTTGAAGCTAACCAGACTACATGTAGGTTTTATAGGTAAAATCTGCTCATTTGAAGTCTGTACTTCATCTGGATTTATTGTGGAATCATTTCCAGGTTTGAAACTTGTTTTTCTTTATCAAACTGTAATTGTTTCCACTGCTGGTTAAGTTTCATGACCAAACCATTCAATTGTTTTAGGGAAAAATGCCTCATCATGCTAATACAGCTTTAAGAACTTATTTACATTAAAACAACTCTACTGACTGATTATTCTTGATCCAAAATTGTGCTGTATTGACTGGATGCGTTTCTGTATATGTTGCTTAATATATTGAAGTTAATGTCCTTTTATAGAATGTTTTTCATTATAGTCTAATTTATATTGCTGTGATTATCTATTTGGTCTCCATTCTGTATGTGTATCTGTCTGTTTTTGGAGTTATTTTTATTCTGAACCTCTAATGTGATCTATTTGCTAAACTCCCTGACCTGAATGTATTGGCAGTGAATCAGTGAGTCAGTTAAAATATTGAAGTGGTTTGTTGTTTAGTGGTAAATAACAGCGATGTTCTGCAGACTGCGTGAAAACTCCCTTCGTAATTCTGAGGCATAAAAGCGATCTGGTTATTCCAACAGAAAACTTTTCTCCTCTGTTTGCATGTCTTTGTACCATCTGCGTCCCTATGAGCTGCTTTGTTGTCATTTTGAGCTTCTTTCATGGTAGATTTGTGTCTCATTAGGAGTCTCCGCACTTCCTTTATTGACCTGCCTTGAAAAAAAACGTAATAATTTCAAACTAATGGAGCTGATATACCACCACCTCCTGAACCTTTGAGCCCTCCAGGTCTGTATTTGGCGGTGCGTGCCAGCAACCCACCCGTGGTTACCGTGGAAATTAGCTCATTAAGACGCAGAAACCAGGAGCTTGATGAGTTTTTAACCTAATATTGAACAGGAGTGCAGGATGCTTTTGTCGACACAGAAATGAATGTTTTGATTACTGCTTTAATATTAGAGCAGTATATTAGCTAAAAATGTGAATAAAAAATGGGTTATTTATTCTCACTAATACACGTTACATTCCCCTGCTCTGTTTTTGGTTGCTTTCCCAACCCTAACGCGATCGGAGCGAATAACAAAAAGTGACAAAGTGGAGATTTAACTGTGACAAAACAGATGAGCGAAGCAAAGCTATGAAGCAGCAAACATGAGCTGGAGGACGAGGAGATGAACGGATCAGATTTGATATTCTGTATTTGCAGAAGGATTGTGTGCCAGACAGCGAGTCTATTATTGGCAACGTCTCAGCATGCCGGCCTGTTACCATAACGAGGCTATAAAAGGGAAACGGCTCCCACACAAACTGCCTGACATTATACATTAAGAAAAAAAAAAAAACCCACACACACAGCTGAAATAGTACCCTCTGTGCTTTTGACTTATTTTTACAGTTTGATTTGTGTTGTTCAGTTAATCTGAAAAATAAAGTTGGTTTCTCAACTCAAATTTTATTTTGCACTTTGTTTATACAGTAAAAAAGGTGCACAATTTAGTTTTTACATCGTTACTGTTTATCATATTAATACAACGCCTATAAACTGTCCAGATTTCATCATAGATTGGAACAAAATCATTCAAAGAAAATGAATAACCATAAAAATCCCCACTGACTGGTCAGAAGTTTGATGATATATTAGACATAAATAAAAAAGTATCAGTATTGGCGATACAGGCCTGTATTTATTTGGTATCGGATCAATACCAAAATCTTCAGAATCGCACACCTCTGGAAACTTATAAGTCATGGAACTTTTTTGAGAAAATCTTTCTTCAGAAATATGAACTGTGGATGCCGACATTAGCATGTGCTGCTGCAACATGCTAATGTTTAGCATTGAGATGCTATTTTAGGCTTGAGCAGCTTCGCTGATATGCTAACTCCTTTTAGCACAACTTCAACACAATAATCTCTTTCAGCATCCAATCAGATTGTTTTTTGAAGCAAAATTAACCCTCAGTAGACCAACAGAAGCAGCTTTGTCGTCCATCACAGATCTCGCTAGTGCATCAGATTTATGGGCATACCAGAAACGCTCAAATACAAAAGGTTCCAGGACTGATTAATTACTTTACAAGATTTTAACACGTTGAAATTGTTTTGAGTAAACACGTTTGCACTCTTTCCACTCCTCTGAGCTAAATGTTTTCTTGTGTCTTATTACAGTATTATTAAATATAAAAATCTGAGCAAAAGTGGCATCTCCTGTTCAAACCGTTTCCATAACAACCACCAGACAGCGTTTACATACCAAACATGGACTTTGATCAATGTCACTGAATAAATGTAGAGATATTAAGCTTGATATTAAGCACATTAAAGTTTTTAAACATCTTTACCATGACAACCATAACATCACTCCCATATTCTGTCCTGCTATTCTTTAAATTTGAGTGTTTCTGTGAAAGGCCGTCCAGGCATATTTACAGGCACCAAAGTGTTCTGAGGAGGAGGAAATATGACTTTAAATACTGGTAAGAATCCCAGCGGTTCTCATGCTGCCCCCTGGTGGTGGGGGTGTTTTCTGGTCACTACTCACATCAAGTCCCTAATCAGTAAAGCTCCTTTATTTTCTCTGAGCCAGGAGGAAACAGCAGGATGATTTCCATGGTTTTGCTTCAGCTGAACTGGAATAAATACTTGTACAACAGCAGCAACAAACGAGTGTTTTCTATGAAACTCAAGATACCATTTGACTTGGTGCGGCTCATACTGGGCCTCTGTATTTGTGTGACTCACTTGGCCGCAGCGGTGAAGGCCAACTCCACATTCATTCCTGATTTAGCGCTCGTCTCCATGAAGGGCACTCCAAACTCCTGCACAGGAAACACGACTGCTTTTAGCATGCCGACGGAAATCTAGTGAGGGGAGAAAATAACCCTGGAAATGATTAGGTCTTTATTAATGCACACTTTGTTTGATGGTTGGGGTTTAAAATACCTGCAGAGGCATGATGGAGTTGAAAATTAGCGGCAATAACTCAACCTCTTTTTGAAAACATGTCGATATTTCTGGCCTTGAGCCATTTTTCGCTTTCTTTTTTTATTTTTTTTATTTTTTTTTATTTCCAAGCAGAGTCTATGAAAAGTGCTCCCAGGTACGGAAATATGATTTTGTGGAAGCGAAAACTGTCTTAATATTCCAGCTGAGAACGGCGTCCCGACATCTGCAGAGGCTCGGCCAGATTTCCTCCCCGTGAATTCAAATTTATCCTCAGAGGTTCTCTGAGTGAAACGGCCGGGGTAATTCATTTAGCAAGGCGCCACCGTTTATGATAATAACAGCATTATGCAGGGCTACCAAATGTGTAATTTAACAGAATAATCAAGAAATGACACACAGACTAAGGACGGAGGGTGTTTGTGCCAGAAGATGGAGCAGAGCAGAAAGCTCCTGTGTGAAGTGGAGAAGGTTCACCTTGGCCAGTTTCTCTCCTTCCTCTCGCTTCACCATTCTGTCATGTGTGGAGTCGGCCTGGAAAACACGACAACATGCGGTTGCTCTGATAGTCTCAGCGCCGACACAATGTGAGAATAATATGCAACTTTTTATTTTATTTTAGAAAATACCAAACAACGTGTACAGAATGTTGTTAACTCAAATGTATTTAACTGGTGCAGATAAATACACCAAATGCAAAATTTTATTTCAAGAATTTGTCTCAAACAGTAAAACTCCAAAAATTTATTTCACGTAGAATTTTTTTTGTCATTATTTCTGGAATATTTTAGCTTACAGAATACTAGAATTTAAAATTCTCTTTCAATTTCTAAGCCACAAAAGATAATCGCTAAAGAAGATTACTACTATAATTTCTTGGTCAAGTTATCGTCAAGCAAAATTTGTTTCTGTATTTGTTGTTATTTGTAGTCGATACCCACAGGTGTCTCCAGGATGGAAGCATAATACCGAGGCTCAGGTTGTTCTGTTGCCATTTGTTCATTTTTGAGTTAAGGTCAAATTTCCATCTCTTTTTCAAATCAATGTTCTAGATCTTTAGAGTGGAGAGGCACAGAACCGACTTTCTTTAGGCCCAGTGTGAAGTTTCCGCAGCGCAGGATGGTTTATAGCGCCCTCTGCTGGTGACGCTCCACTGAGTTTTATCAAATTCAAAATGAGTTTAGACATTTTAGAGAACTGGGTGCTTTGCTCTGATGACAAGCTTTCATTTTCCAGCTGTACCTGCTCATTTTGCTTAAAGCACCAATTCCTGAGTGAATATAGTGTAAAGCAGAGGTGGACGTTTATCGTACTGTTCATCATTTATCGTGATACGCTTCTTATCATGATAAGAATTTTGATTTATCGCCACAATAAATTCCAATTAATGAATTAAATAAATAAACTAGAGAGTTATATCATGAAATCCACAGTCACTGTGTTGTTGCTCCTTTTACACCGTTTGGTCACCCGTTTGCATTCACGGGTCCGCCTTGGCGCTCCCATTCTCTCTACACCCTCCTCCTCCTCCATGAGCCTTCCCGGCCACCCTCCGAGTCCATCTGCCCATCCATCGCCCAGTGTTGCCAACAAGGCCTCACCTTGTTGCCCAGCAGCATGACCACCACGTCCTGCTGGGCGTACTCGTGAATTTCCGTCAGCCACGCCTGCGGATGAAAACAGAGCAAAGATTAGGGAAAGAAATGAAAAAGGGAGCAAAAGGACGAACCAGGGATGACAGACGGAGACAGCGGTGATGAAGAGGAGAGTCGAGGATGAAGGCTTGTGAGGATTGTTTCATGAAGAGAAAGACAAAAGACGCATTTGTTGTTCTCTGATCGTCAGCAACCCGTGTGCTTTCTTCTTGTATCTCGGTCCATCCATCTCCTTCCAATTACAGAGTTCCTTTGCTCTTGTTAGTCTTTGGTTTCCACTCACTCAGCTCTCTCTAGAAAACTTCTCATTTATTTGTGGACTGCGTTCAACCTTTAGGTGCAACCTTTTGAAATGCATTATGAAGAGTACTTCTAACCCAAAGAAAGTAATGACAGATTTAAGACTAACAGGACTAGCAAAGACGAAGACAAACTGTTGTTGTATCTCCAGATCTAATTAGTATTGGTCCAGTTCTTCAGCTTGTATGACATAATTAAATTCACGTGGAAAAATGAATAAATGCACTTGGAAATACTCCACTGCACCAATTAAGAGACAGGTGAAGTGTGTTTTGTATGTTTCGGTGTAAGAGATGAGACAAAACAGGATGGCAATGCAAAGAGATGAGTAGCTATGGCAACTAGCATGTCAAAGTTGCTTCAGCCTCAATGGAATCTTGTGTTTTCTCTTGAACTTGTATCCTGCTTAAACCGTGCTTCATGTGTTGACCTTTTACTTTTTAAATACTATTTCCTGCCCTTTTGTTTTCCTTCTCATCAGGTTTGGAGACTCCTTAGTGTGGAGATTATTGAAGATACAGGGTGCGTGTACACCAGCCCTGCTTAGGCCGCTTTAATCAAACTCTAGTTTGTTTGCCTAGAAAGTCTGGTCGTTTGGGGAGGTGTGAACATGCAAGTGAACTCTGTTCCGCCTACAAACCGAGGTCTCTGTCTGATTGAAGTGAACTCTGATGCAGTTCAAATTGCAAGCGGACTGAAGACCACTGCAAAAGCAAACCACACCAGCTGAAAATGTTGATGTTATGCAACTCAATAGAACCGAATCTACTGGACTATCAGGTGTGAAAACACCCTCAACTCTAATCCAAGTACTGCATTTTCAATGTGAAACAATCTTAGGGAAGTTATCAAACTTGTTTTGTACAAAACCTTGAGATATAAAACTATCTGAAAATCCAAAACAACAACAAAAGGAAGTGCAGTCAGCATGAAGCCTCTGCAACGCTTCCAGCTACTGACTAAAGACAGACATTCAGAGGTTGATCCCTCCTACTGTGGTAGGAGATTTGTTTCTTCTCGGGGGGACTTGCAGCAGGGTTCTGGTCATTTAGGAAATACCACCCCATCACTCTGCCTTAAGGGGCTTTCAAAATAATAATACTTTCCATGTTTGAAGTTTTGACAACATGAAAAGTCAAGTTTGAGCCAATGGCTTCTGGAATCCTGAAAACTTCATGCTTTCTTTCAGCGTTTATTTGTTTCACTTGATATATTATTGATGACCAGACTGTACAACAGTTAACAAAAGACTCGCTTTTATGACAGATGATGAAATAGATCAGGGGTGTGTTGAAGCAGGGACATATGTAAAAGTTGCAGGATGGTATCTTTTGAGGAACGGATTTGGACATCTCTTTAATAGACTATTTCAATTCATGTATCTGACTCTTACGCCACAAAACCAGCTGCAAATTCTGAAAGTTATTATCAAGTTAACAGAAAACAATCAATTGATCTGACTGACCAATCTACTGTATAATTCTGTGGTGGAACCTTAAGAGAATGTCTTAGTTAAGTTATAATTTAAAGTTTTCTGGAAGAGTGGATGAAAGCGCTGAGATAGATTCAGAAAGCCATATAGCAAAGCTACGTTAGACCTTTAGAGGTCATGATGGTAGTTTCCATCATGACTGCATCATTCAGTTGTTTCTAGAAAATAAAAACCAGAAAGCTAAAGTTGGCAGAATATTTACCAATTAAAGACGACGTCATCTCACCTCAGTTATACACAATGTGTTTTGAAGTGTAAGAAGGTAAAATATTCTTTGGTCTGTTTGATCACGGAAAACAATACAGTGCAAGATTTTACATGTTTCTTTCCACTTTCACAAATCTAAAAAGGTGTTTGATCTAAAAAGAGATGAAACACCTTTTCCCCCTTTTCTGCTTTGTTTTAACCTTTGTTTCAATAATTAGTCCCAAACAAAGCTTCTCAGTGGATTTTTTTTAATTAAATGATTGAAACACTGAAAACATCACATTATCTGCTATTTGTTCTTTGTGTAACTAACTTTCCAGCTGCTTTCTGCTTGCATAACCTGTTCAAGACAGATGCAAATAAAAAAATATAACATTAAGGTTTGGCACCAGTTAAGAACCAAAAAAAGATTTCCTGGAAGAGTTTTTTTTCTTCTCTTTTTCAGCTGCAGCCTTGGTTGAGCAATGTGTATTTTAATATGTCAGCCCTGGCAATACTTTCTACTGATGAGGAGGAGGAGGTGGCAGGGATGAGCAGCAGTGTGTGTTCGTAATGTTTAGGTTTGGGTTCACATCCAGCCAACGATTCCATGTTTACCTGAAGCTGATTAGGGAGCAATTTGACAGTTTGTTGGCACGGTGGCGAGAGGTGCAACAAAATTAAACCCAGAGAGAGAGAGAGAGAGAAAACTCTACCTCAGGATGCCAATTACTCTGACAAAAATATGGCCTAATAATCTCACACTGTTATTTCCTTTAAATAGCTGTACTGAGCTTTTATCACAGAGTTCTGAGGAGAAACTAAAATATCTTTTTGAACTTTAGTGATGTGTGAAAGAAGGACAGACATCACTGTGGTGGAATCTTAAGAGAAAAGAGAAATATGCAAAACCTTTCCTCAGCTCAGCGTTTCCAAGACACCATTTTAGTGCCTTGAAAAAATAATCAGACCTCAAAAACTTCAATGGATTTCATGTGATAGATAACAGATAGTGACAGATTAATACGAAACAGTGCCAGAATGTTTAGTGGAAGGAAGTGATATATAGTTCTTTAAAGTGTTTTACACTGCAAAAACACAATTTTACAAAGTATTTTTTGGTCTAGTTTCTAATGCAAATATCTTAGTATGCATAAAATAAGATGAAACTAACTTACAAGTGACTTTTCAGCAAGATATAGCAGACTTAAAACAACCTCCTATGGCATCCTGAAAAGTCACTTTTAAGTTATTTGCACAAGAAACTAGAGCAAAAATACTTGGCAAGATTTTGAGTTTTTTGCTACGTATAAATAAAGATCTAAAACAACCTATGTTTATTTTATTTATTTATTTATTTTTACATAAACATGAAGTGAACACAGAACAATCTGGCATCATTTAACATCTCCATTCAGGAGTGAAGAAAACATCTAATTTATGTCAAGGGAACAATTTAATACTTAATGCTGAAAGGAGTTGCAAGATTTTACTGCCATGAAAATAGCTAAACAGTTTTCTTTTCCAACTAAAATATATTTAATGGAGTCATTGACAAAGTTCACACCAGATATCAATTATGACCCAAGAAATCAACAAATATTCTCCTTCCAGCAGGACAATGTTAAACTATCTAGGAGGATCTATGTTAGGATCTAGTTCGGACGCCTCCCTGGTGAGGCGCTCCAGGCTGAATGGATGGATGAATGGAAATGCAATCATTTCCTCTCCACACTTGTAGAAGCTGCTTAAGAAGAGAAAAGGGGCTTAATTTATTATTTTGTGTTCCTTGAAAGATGGGCTTCTTCTACTTAAAACTATCTGAAGGACAAGATACTAAATAATGAGTCCAACGGGATCCAAGAGTGCCCTGCTATGGACTTCATTAACTTTCAATCTTGTGTAATTTTCTGTCCACGGATGATGATGAATAGTTTGATTTCCTGTCATTATCCTGTTAATCCTGATAATGTGCGAGTGTGGGTTTGTGTAAAAGTCAAGTTGGAGTTTGATCAGGGTATGCTGGTTTCTATTAAGAAAAACAGAAGTATTCTGATTGATAACTGGGATCGACTGGAACACATGTATGCTTTGAGACGACATTTGTTGCAAACAGGTGCTACATAAATAAACTGAATTGAACACAATCTGGAACATGGAAGTTGAGCATTCTCTGGTAAATGTTTATAGCAATCACCCAGCTTACATCTACCACACAGTTGAAAGAACCGTTTTTATTCCCACAGAAGGTTCTCGATCCTGACAGCCTTCCAGCTTTCACGCTTCCCTTCAACAAACAAAAATCTGAGGTCTTTTATTCTACCGACCAAATGACAAGGGAACAGACCTCAAATCTGTGTTATCCGTTTTAGCTCTGCCGGTTTCTGAGTTCTAACACCATGAACAAAAAGCTTCAAACACAATGTCTCTCTACCAGATTTGAGTGCCAAGTTGCTCTGGGCCTATTGTTCTCTCCATCTCCTCCATCTTTAAGTACATTGAAAGCAGAGTGCCCTACTGGATGATGTGCAGTCCACTAAAATGAAAGAAACACTCAAATCAAGTGTAGACGGTGAGCTGAACAGAGAGCTGCCGTTACCATTTCAAGCATCAATAAGCACATATTGACTCTTGCTAGCAGGGAGCAAACATATTTCATTGCTATTGAAAGAAACAGGAAAAAAGGTCAGAGCTTTCTCTTAAACACAGGTTCTGTATAGTGTACACACACAAACACACACACACTTGTCTTCCTCTAGTGTTCAGTGTGTGAATCATCAAAAAAAGAGCTCTCAGATCAGCAGTAATCCCTCCCCCTCGTGTGCAGGTTTACAGTATCCCGAGAGCTTTACATCGTTTCATTACACTAAGATCAATGGTGCAGAGCCCGACCCCACACCCCCCAACAACACACAGACCTGCCAATTACTCACGCAGCCTTTAAAGATCCCGGCAGCCTGGGGGCGGATTAGGTGAGAAGTGGAGGGGGAAGGAACCCCAGTTTGGGAGCTGAAAGTGATCCGACTTCAAAAGG